ATCATCTATCATTGTTGTTATAATCTTCAATGTTGTTCTTGTTGTTCATTCATTAACATTGTGATTATTAGCAGTATGACAAACAAACACACAAACACAGACGCACATACACACACAAACACAGACGCACACACACACACAAACACTCACACACACATCCTCACTCACACGCACACACACACACACACACACGCACACACACACACACACACACACACACACACACACACACACACACACACAGTTTATCCATAAGTTCTCCTTACCAATCTATCGCCATCACTAATCCCCGTTCTCCCCCCCCCCCCCCAGCATGCTGTACGCCGCGCGCGTGCTCCTGTTCGCCAACTCGGCCGTGAACCCCATCCTGTACAACCTGACGTCGACCAAGTTCCGCGACGCCTTCCTCAAGCTGCTGCGCAACGAGCGCCGCCGCCGCCGCCACCTCAGCCGCCAGTCCACCTTCAACACCACCGGCACCTCCATGTCCAACGGCCGCAGCGGTTCCTCCCGCGCCGCGCCCTCCGAGGTGGCCACCATCAGGGAGCACCCGGCGCGTGTGGCCCTGGCCCGCTGGGGGCGCCACGCCTCCCTCGACGAGTTCCCGGCGGCGCCGCGGGCCGGCATGGCGCGCTACGGCCGCCAGAGCTCCTTCGCCGGCACGCACTGGCTCCCGCCCGCCGGCAGCGCCTCCTCCAGCGCCGCCTGCAGCCGCCAGAACAGCCGCGCCGGCGAGAACGGCGCCGCTAGTCCCGGCGAGGCGCGGCGCTGCCTGGAGGGCGAGAAGCGGCACTCGGGCGAAGGCCGGCGGCTGCTGGAGGGCGAGAGGTCGTCCTTGAACCAGGGCATGATCGCGGAGGAGAGGCCGCGCGGCCACCTGGCGCGCACGGAGAGCATGAGGCGCATGCGGGAGCGCAAGATCGACACGGAGATGGACACCCTGCTGTCGGAGCGGCCGAGCGACGCCGCGCACGCGCCCACGCCCACGGCCGCCGAGACCGTCTTCAGGCTGGAGAGCGAGCGGCCGCGGGACCCCGACGACGGCGGCGCCACAGAAAACGGGAAGCCGGCCGCAGAAAACGGCGACCGGGCCAAAGAAAACGGGGGCGGCGCGGAGGCGAGGCCGGCGGGCGAGGCGGGCGGAGGCGCCCTCTTCTGCGAGAGTCTAAGTACAAAAGTCAGTCTGGTTTGAAGGAATTCTTATCTCCGCCAATTGGGCATTAGGGTCGATTCCTCCCGAGACAACAGACGCGACAGAAAGATGGAGAGAGAGAGAGAGAGAGAGAGAGAGAAAGAGAGAGAGAGAGAGAGAGAGAGAGAGAGAGAGAGAGAGAGAGAGAGAGAGAGAGAGAGAGAAGGCGAAGGAGAAGGAGAGAAGGAGAGCGACAAACAGAGAGGATGCCGTCATACACGCATCTACCTCTCTCTTAACCATAAAAGAACCCTTCTTAATAAAACAGATAAATAAAAAAAATGACCCGACACCCCGTAAGAAAAAAAAAAAAAAAAAAAAAAAAAATTCTTCAATTCTCTATCTCTTCCCTTTCGTTTTACACTTTCTCTCTTTCTTATTTTTCTTCAAGGTTTAACAAGACGTAATCTATATTATGAATGTTCGTGACTAAGTGTCTGTATCGATCATATATATAATTTACATGTGTGTATTTCGTGTTTAAACTAAAAAACAACAACAACAAAAAACGTAAATGATACGGTTATTAATATATTCTATCCATGTTTTGCTAATATACTATCATACTATTCGTTACGAGATGTTGTAATACTGTTTAACATAATAATGATCGATTCCTGATCATAATCTAGGTTTTTAGAAATAATAATTACGAAAAAAATGTCTTTGTACTGAGTGAACTTTGATGTAATAAAATGACACGACTTTTTAAAGATGAATGTGTGTATATATATGATTTATTTAGATTTTTTTTTCTTATCTTATTGTTTCGTTCCAGAAATTATAGATCGAAATGTAGACATACATATATGAAAGTGTGTTTCAAGTGCTAAAACTGGTGTCCTTGATAACTCCCTTATTCTTTTATTTATTTATTTTTTTTTACGTTTATTATTCATAAATTTATCTATTTCCTTATTTACTTTTTTTTTTTTTTTTTTTTTTTTTTTTTTTTTTTTTACAACGAGAGAGAGAGGCACAGCGTGAGAGAAAGAGAGATAGATTGATCAGCATTAATCTTCGGAATGATCGATGAAATATAAATCTGGTCTTGCTTGTAAATGATAGAAAAATATGATAACTAGAAATAGAGAAATAAAGGATAGGAAGAGAAAGCACAAAGAATAACAACTGTTAATATAATACATATTTTTATTCTTAAAATTAAGTTATTAATGGACAAAGAAAGGAGATAATAAAATGAATGATAATGGTAATAAACACTGATAAATGGTAATGATGCTAATGATGCTAATGATTTTAATGATAATGACGCTAAAATAATGATAAAAGTTAATCATAGTGGTTATAATGGTAACAATAATATTAATGTTTGTAATAATTCTGATAGTGATACGGTAAGAGAAAGAGTAAAAGGAAGATTAACGAATTTGTTAATAGTAACTACGATAATGATAAGAATAAATGTTCATAGTAATAATGATGATAATAAAGATGTTACTGATAAGGCTTATGATAATCTTAATTATGAAATTATACCTATTATGGTTCTGAGAAGAATGATAAAATACAAATATATATATGCATATATATATACATATATATATATATATATATATATACATATACGCCTACATAAACATATATATATATCTATATAAATTCAAGAAAGTCTCCAAGATAAGCAGGAAGCCAAGCCAAATATCCACGTACCCATGAAACCGTTCTGACGTCACTAACAAATCGCCCAATGGCTTGAGTGTACTCGTGGTGACGTCATTAGCAGACCACCCAATCAGGTTGCGCGAACGCCTCGCCTGCAAAACAGGTCTCACACACGTTTCGTCCTGATGGCTACACGTCTTGTCAAAGCGTGAATTGTGTGGTAAGGAATGTGGTGTGTGGTCTATCGTACCCTGGTTTGTTTTGATAAGAATAATTTATCGTGGATTGTGGTTTTATAGGACGAGAGGAAGGAAATGGAGGAGGTAGGGGAGAAAGAGGAGGAGGAGGAGGAGAAAGAAAAGACGCTGGAGGAGGAAAGAGGAAAATGGATAATGGCTAAAGAAGAAAGGCAGAAAGTTGATAAGGAGAAAGAGGAGAAGGAATGGAAAAGTAGACAGAGAAAAAAAGAAAGAAATTTGGAAAAAAAGAGGTCGCTGGTAAAAAAAAATATATATATATATATATTGTCTTAACTTTCCACAAGTTTATTTTAAAGAGGTCACAACTATAATGATTATATTTATTGCAACTATAATGTTTGTATAAGTTGGTCTCTATATGTGTGAGTGTGTGTTTGTTATGTTCATGTATGGTACATGTTTATATTTTTTCAAGTGCTTAAATACGTTTATTTTATGTATATATTTCTGTATCTTATGTGTATATATAAGTTTGTATGTACATGTGTGTCTGTCAAACTACATATATATATGCGTTTAATGATTTTTCTCAATCTGTAATATACATTTATTCTGATCACACACACACACACACACACACACACACACACACACACACACACACACACACACACACACACACACACACACACACACACACACACACATACATACACACACACACACACACACACACACACACACACACACACACACACACACACACACACACACACACACACACACACACACACACACACAACCCCCCCCTCTCTCGAAAAAGAGAAAAGAGCTTCCCTTTCCATAAACAACAAACAAACAAATATCCCTCTTTTATCATGTGTTTGTTTCCATAAAATTGAACTTTTTTTCAGAGAATATCACCTTATGTTATTATCATTATTATTATTACTGTTAATATTATTATTATTATTATTAGGGTTGTTATTATTATTATTGTTGTTATTGTTATTGTTATTATTATTATTACTGTTATTGTTAATATTATTATTATTATTATTATTATTTTTACTATTGTAATTATTATCACCATTATTATTAGTATTATTTAACATTTTTATTATCATTGCTATTATCATTTAAATCCTTAATCACACATTAATTCAGTTAATCATTTAATAATTATTATCATTTAATCATGTATATAACGATTAATGAATTACTTAATTTTCTCCAAGCACAGGTGTTAACACATACATATATTTATGGCTGAGAGTTGTCTATAATAGTAACTAGCTTTTCACAAAACTTCAAAATTCTACATGTGACTATATTAGAGAGAGCTATTAATTAATCCTTTACCAAAGACATATCGAGTCCCTTCTATTTTTGTAAATTGTGTCTTGGAAGTTTAAGTGGTATGAATAAGCATGAATAAAGGTCGTATATAATGCAGGTGGGCGTTTTATTTGACCTGAAACGCTTTGATATTTATCAAGCACATGGAAACACTTGAAAAAAGAATATATGTGCACACACACACACACACACACACACACACACACACACACACACACACACACACACACACACACACACACACACACACACACACACACACACACACACACATAAATATACATACATATATATACATATATATATATTCACACCCATATATATATATATATATATATATATATATGTATATATATATATATATATATATATATATATATATATATATATATATATATATATATATATATATACATATATATGGAAAAGGAGGTGGAGGAGAAGGAAGAGACGATGAGGAGGAGAGATGGAAGGAGGAAATAGAAGAGGAGGAGGAAAAAAAGGAAGAGATGGTGGGAGAAGGAAGAGGAAAATGAGGTGGAGGAGAAGAAGGAGGAGGAAGAGGGAGAAAAAGGAGGAGGAGGGGATAAAAGTAAGAAGGAAGAGAAGAAAAATAATTATAATATGAAGGCAGAGGAGGAGGAGGAGAAAAGAAGTAGAAGGAAAAGAAGGAAAGTAATAAGAAGGAAGAGGAGAAGAAGAAGAAGATGAAGGAGGAGGAGGAGGAAAGAAGGAAGTGGAGAAAAAAGTTGAAGAAAATAGGAACAAAATAATATGATAATGATAAGAAGAAAGAAAAATATCAAGAAATAAAGAATAACAAGACAAATAGTAAAATAAAGAGAGAGATAAAGGAATGGAGGATGAGAAGAGAAGAAAACGGAAGCATTAATACGTACATGCACACACACACACACACATACAAATACACAAACACACACAAAAACAAACACACTCTCTTTCTCTCTCTTCCTCCCTCCCCTCTCTCTTATACTCTCTCTCTCTCTCTCCCCATCCCTCTATTCTCTTTCCCTTCCTTACTCTCCCTCTCTTCTCGCCCCCCCCCCTTCTCCTATTCTTTTCTTACCTCATTCATTTTCTTTCCCCTCTCCCCCCTCCCCCTCCCCCCCTCCGCCTCAGGTCCTCAACCTCCGGCAGACAATCGCATAATTTTCCTTCAAAACTTATGGCTGTTCGTTCTCTTGTTCCCCGAATCTAAGAGAGAGAGAGAGAGAGAGAAAATGAGAGAGCAAGAGAGAGAGAGAGAGAGAGAGAGAGAGAGAGAGAGAGAGAGAGAGAGAGAGAGAGAGAGAGAGAGAGAGAGAGAGAATGAGAGAGCAAGAAAGAGAGAGAGAGAGAGAGAGAGAGAGAGAGAGAGAGAGAGAC